AAATGAAAATTTTTTTCCATAACATCCTGTCAAACAGGCTACAGTGTTTAATTAAAATCATTTATTGTGAACAAATTGGATTTATTCCAGAGATGCAAAGATGGTTCAACATTAGGAAAACAATACACATAATTGTATTAAATTTCATTTAAAAAGACTTTATCTATAATCAAATGTAAGCAGTACATTTGCAGTGAGGATATTTTAGATCCTTTTCCAGTAAATATGGGGGTGCAATAAGAATGCCCACTCTCCCCAGTATTCTTTTATATAATTCTGGAAATGCTAATGACAGCAATAGAACAAGAGAAAAACATTAAAAGCGTAAAAATAGGTAAAGAAAGAAACTTTTCCTGTTTGCCGATGATATGCTAGTTAACTTGGAAAATCCTAGCATATCATCTAAGACGTTAATTGAGACAATGGTTTCAGCTAGTTTTCAGGCTACAAAATAAACCTTCAGACATCAATGGCACTTCTATATAGTAACAACAAAATCCAAGAAGTGATAATAGGGAAATCCCATTTTAAATCATTATAAAATGTATAAAGGATCTGGGGATCAGTCTAGCACAGCCTGTACTACATGTAGAGATTCAGTTAGAGAGGTGCTTCTTAAAGAAATAATAAACAACTTAAAGAGCCAGAGGAATATTCAGTGTTCATGGGTAGGCCGTCCCTATCTAGTAAAATGAAGTACTGCCTAAATTAATTTACACCTTTAATACTATACCAGTCAAGTTATGAAAGGCATACTTTATGCAAAATGATAAAATAATAAAACTCATTTTGAAAAACAAAAAGTCAGGGGCAAGTAGATGGTGCAGTAAATAGAGCTCTGGCCTTGGAGTCAGGAGGACCTGAGTTCAAATGTGGCCTCAGACACTTGACACTTCAGCTGTGTGACCCTGGGCAAGTCACTCAACCCTGATTGCCTTACCAAAAATAAAAATAAAAAAATAAAAAGTCTGAAATATTGAGAGGAGTAATGAAAGAGGTAGCATCAAAGGAAGAATAGCACTTAGAGACTTCAAACTAAATTATAAAGTAGCAGTCTTCCGGTATTGATTAAAAAATAGACAGGTAGATCACTGGATAGACTAATCGAGGGAGAATCAAAAATAATGGAACTCAACAAACCAGTGTTAAATAAACTGGAAAACAAATTATTTAGGGGAAAAAAACCCTCTATTTGTTAAAAACAGCTGGCAGAAATTAGACTGAGACCTATACCTTATTACATTGTATTCTATAATACATTTTAAATTCTTATCAGACTTTAATATTAAAGATCATACTGTAGAAAATTACAGACGACAATCTACTTCTCACCGTTATAGGTAGGAGATATGTTTTTAACTGAACAAAGGATTGAGACAACTACAAAAGAAATATTAGTTAACTCATTACATGAAACTGAAAAGCATCTGCACAGAATGCGCATAGGTTAAGAAGAAAAGTGGTCAAATGGGGGAGGAAATCTATATTAAATATATCTGATAAGGGTTTAATATCCAAGAGATAAAAAATTATTAACTATATGTGACTAATAGACATTCCCTAATAGATAAATGATGAAAGGATGTGAACAGGCAGTTCTCAAAAGAAAAAGTATAAAATATTGACAACTACATTGAAAGAATGCACCAAATCACTAATACTGCAAATGAAAACAATTCCAAGATTTCACTTCACACACAGCAAATTGGCAAAGATGACAATGGCAAATAGACAATGTTGAAAGGATTGTGGGAAAAGAGGTCCACTGGAGCATTGATGGTGGAGCTGTGGTGGTGGTCAGTACAGTCATTTGCAAAGACAGTTTGGAATTAACATTTATTAAGTACCTACTGTGTGGCAGGCACTGTACCTTGCACACAGTAGGTGCTTAACAAATGTTATTTGAATGAGTAAATGAGTGAATTATTAAGGGCATAACTTTTTTAAAAAGCAAAATTAAGTTCTATTTTGATGAGGTGTTTTAAATGATGTAACTTTTATTTTTATTGATAGCCTTTGCTTTGATGTCACATTTGTAAATTCTCCCTTTCCCCACCCATCCCGTCTAATAAGGTATTAAAAGGAAAAAAAAAAAGCAGTTCAGCCAATACTTAACAACTTAAAAAAACAAACACATTTAAATTAGATGTATTTATAAAATGTAACAGAACATCTTCCTCTAAAATAGGATTTATGCACATGAATGATCATGAGGCACAAAAACGTATGCATCTAGGTCATTGGTTGTAGTGACTCAAAGACATTGTGACAAGAATGTGTCTTATGGCCTTTAGGGAGCAGACCCTTCAAGCCTCTGTGTGAATGTCTGTTTGGGATCTTTATGTGACTTTGGTGGAGGCATCATATGCTGTCATCTTTCAAGTCCTTTCAGTTGCTGCTTTTCCTTGTGTAAGTCAAGAGAAACAAGGAGTGGTTTTAGTGAGGGGGCCCAATCTAGAGTCTTCCTCTACATTTTGTAACATTTTTAAGTGTTTGTGTATGACCTGTAGTTCTCAATATGTTACCACACCACTTTTTTTTTCTTTCCCCAGTTAAACAACCTACTATTGCTAATATGTTACACACTACTTACCCTCCACATGGTCTTTCTTGTGTAAAACTTGTGGTGTTTTGCAGTTGTTTGTGGATTGTAGCCATATAGCACGACCAGAAAGAGTGCTGCTGTTAAAAAATCGTTTTTGTGTCTCAGAGTAACTTGGGATCATATGACTGTAATATATTAATGTCAGATAACTTCCAGTTTTTACTTTATGTTAAAATAAATTGTAATCCTAGCTCTGCCACATGCTGTTTATATGACCCTAGGCAAGTCATCTGACCTTTGTTGGGCCTCAGTTTCCTCATCTGTAAAGTGAGAAGATTGGACTAGGTAACAGCTAGGGTTCTTTCCAGCTGTAAATCTCTGGTCTTATGATCCTAATATTTTATCTGACTGTTATGTAAATAAAAAAAAAGTAATGTAAAAACAAGAGTTTCAAATACTATTACTTTTATTCAGGAGTTGAACTACAGATACATTAATTTATTTTATTTAGGCTAAATCTTATGAATTAAGAAAGAATGGAAAGTCCCTTATCTTTTGATAATTTCTTGGTCAAGTTTCTTTTTATTTTAATTAATTTTGATTTTTATTGTTACACTAAATTAGAGAGGACATTTGCACGTATGTAACAAAATGGAAAAAAATTATACAAAAATTTACAAGTCTATTTTGTATAGCTTTTTTTTATATTTATGTTCTTTTTTTTATATTTATATTCTTTTTTTTTTTTTTTTTTTGGTGAAACAGTCAGGGTTAAGTGACTTGCCCAGAGTCACATAGCTAGTAAGTTTCAAGTATCTGAGGCGGGATTTGCGCCCCGGTCCTTTTGACTCTAAGGCTGGAGCTCTATCTACTGCGCTACTTACCTGCCCCTTTATTGTTCTTTTACAGTATAAAATAAGATCAACCTGTAGCTTTCATAGTTAATTCTCTCCCTGTTTGTCTGGCTTTTTGGCCAAGTTTCTTAAATATATTGCTGTATGTTGTAAAACCATCAATGTTCCACTTCGGTTATCTACATGTGACCTTTGGAGAATGAGATTTTCTGATAAATTGAATATCTTAATTACTAAGAGCTAATTATTCTATGTATTAATTACCACTTATCAAAGAATTATGAAATTCTGCATAATTTCATGATTAATTGTAAAACTTGAACTTAAAGGTAGACTGTTAGAATAATTCCTTTATTTGTCAGGTCACTTCTTGGGATTTGGAATGTATTTTCTCATTGAAAATAATTTATAAATTGTGGTTAGCTTTCTAGGTTAATTCACAATCTAGAATATAATAGAAATACAATACATATATACTTATATACATGCATATATAATAGAAAGTAATACTGTTCCTATATTATTAAATTAGTAATAAGTTTTTAAAACAGAAAAATTACTAAATAAATAATTATTTCTAAAATACTTCCGGAAAATAGACTTAATTTAGGGGAGGAGGATATTTTAATGAAGCTTTGAAGATGATTTTGAAATAATTTTCAAGTGTGTTAGAGGCTGATAGTATAGGTTCTTATGGTTAATTTTATTTCAAGATTTAGGGCTTTCCAGTTCCATGATGTAGCACTGTGTTAGCACTACTCATACACAGTCAGCCATACTTTGAAATGTATTTGACTCACAAATATAATGGGGAGAGGGGAGGGCAGAGATTTTCTTAAGGGAATTAATAAGCAAGAAAAGCAGGGTGTGTGTGTGGGGTGGGGTTGTGTATGGTTGTGCATAAGATAGAGTTTTATTGCATTCAGCATTAGGTAAGCTGTGAAAGATGAAAGTAAAGGTGAGGGAGCAGTTTCCTCCTATCTGACCACCAGCATGGTCTTGATCTGAAGCAGGTTTGGATTGGGATTGAGGGGAGGCACATTGGTGCCATATGGCCATGCATATGGAAAGACTTTTTATTTTTAGGGAGTGCTTGTACTGAATTTATTCTTTCACTTATATTTACTTCAGGGATCTTTTGATCATTATGAACACCTGTTATATAGTATTGCGAAACTTAATTATTTAAGTTTTCTGGTTTTGGGTTCTGGGTAAATGAACATTTACTGTCAATGAAGGATAGATAACATATTACGTACTTTCATTTTGCATGTAGTACTGGTATCAGAAACCTCAAAACCAGGGAAAATGCTATTTTCCCTCTTTTAAGAAAGGCACTTGTGTCTCATGCTTTTTAAATACTCGGATTTATGTTGTAGATAGACTTTTTCCCAAATAAATCAGCTTTTCTTCAATCAAGAAAAATGAATTTTTCTTTAGTAAAATAACGTATTCTATTTCAGATTTGAGTAGCTTATATTGTCTAACAGAACTTTTGTGTTAGTAGTTTTTAGTGTATTTCTGTTAGAGAAGTTGTCACACACGTGTACTGCTTGTTTATATTTCTGACTAAAATTAGTTACACATAATTTTTTTATTAGGACGTAGCTGTTTTCGTCTTTGATAAAAAGCTGATTGACAAATATCAAAAATTTGAAAAGGATCAGATCATTGATTCTCTGAAACGAGGAGTCCAACAGTTAACCCGGCTTCGACACCCTCGACTTCTTACCGTCCAACATCCTTTAGAAGAATCCAGGTAAATTTTTATGTAGCTTAATCAGACTTAATAAAGCAATTAAATTATTTTATAGTTTAAATCTTTTTACAAAATTTGATGTAATAATACAAATAGAAGTTCTAACAATTTGAGCACTGGAAACTGGCAAAAAGTTTAAATGATCTAACCTATGAGTTCTTTGATCTATCTTTGTGAGTTTTAGTGATAAGAAGAATCAATGTCAATAAAGACTTTTCTTAATATTTTCAGTGGATAAGCCATTCGGATCCTGCTGTGTTATTAGTATTGTTTTAGGCAATATAGACAATGCAGAAGTTACATGACACAGTCCCCTCCTTTAAGGAGAGGAGACAACAAATAGAAAATGCTGAAAAACTCTTTTGACGGCATATACTTAAGTACTAAATTGGGTGATGCTCAGTGCCATAGGAATAGCTAGAAGGGAGAGATGAGCCAAAGCCAGTCAAGAAGGTGGGACTTGGAAGGTGAGAATGATTTTGGTGACTAAAGAGGAGGAAAGGAAAGTATTATAGGTGTCTGGAGAGAGAACAGCGGGAGCATACGGATAGATGAAAGTGGCAGTGAGCATGGTGTGTTTGCAGCATAGAACAGACAGTAAGCTTTACTACATCAGAAAGATGCTGGAGATGGTGGAAAATAGAACTATATCAGGTGCGGATTGTATAATTCCCTAAAAACCTGGGAGAGGAGTTTAAATTAAATGTAATAGAAAATATGGAGTAATTGAATAGGAGGTTCCTAGAGCATGATAGGTCCTTCCCTTCCTGTCTTCAAGTTCTTTACCTATTACTGTTCCTTGTTAACCAGTGCTTGAAATCATGCTAACATCTGCTCCATTCCTAAAATATCTTCATTTGACCCTCCGTTCTCTTACACTACTCTCCTATATCTCTCCTCCATTTCATTGCCAAGGTCCTGAAATTATTGTTTGGTTTCTCCATTTCCTCACCATCTACTCAGTTCTCAACACTGTTTAAAATTGTCTTTTCTATTATGAACTTGACAAACTTCAACTAACTTAAATATATAGAAATTACAGAAAGAACAGAAAAAGGATTGTATGTGACACCATAGAACTCTATTATAGCTTTTTATTATTTTTATTGTTACAGTAACATAGTAGTTAGTTGTCTGTGTCTCCTTCAGAACTAACATCTGCTCTTTTCAGTGTATTAAAAAATTTATTCTAAACTTAATAAACACTAGCTAAAAGGAGTATTTTTCAAATGCGAAGTAGAATAGAAAAAGAGGATTGCATGTGAAATTGTGAAATTCTATTTTGTACAATTTGCTTTTCATTTAAAGTACAATATATAAAGTACAATTCTTTAAAGTATAATAAATTCAACATTAACTTTCAAAGCTGTCTTGCTTCTCTGTTTTCTTTTGGCCTTTTTTCTCTTCTAGGTATTAAAAAATGTTTTGGTGACCCTCTTTCTTTTCTTTCTCTTATTTATTTTATTATATCCTATTGCTATTATCTTTTCCATCTCATCTCCCTTCCCCATATTGGGGGAAAAAACAAAAAACAAAACCTTTGTAATAAATGTTTGTAGTTAGGGAAAACAGATTTCTACATTGCCTGTGTCCAAAAATATGTATTTCATCTCTCCCTTGAGTTCATCATCTCTGTAGGGAGGTGGGTAGCGTGCTTCGTCATTGGTCCTTTGGAATTGTCACTGGCCATTGCATGGATCCAAGTTTAAGTCTTTGACTGTTGTTGTTATTTCTAGTGTACCTTTCAGGACTCACCAATCTGACTTCTGACCACAGCATGTGAATGAAATGCTGTTCTCCATGTTCCCAGTACTCTCAATTTTCCAGGGTTACCAGTGACCTCTTAACTGTCCCAAACAGAATTTATTGTCTTCCCTGCCAGCTTTACTTCCTAAATTTATTTTTTCTTTTGAGAGTACCACCAGTCTTCCTCTATAACTCAGAGTCCTGGGGACTCTTATCTCTTTCACCCCGTATCATTGCCAAGTCTTGTCAGTTTGGCTAATATAATTTCTGAAGCGTCCGTTCTCTTCTCTCTGCTCATACACCTTTTACCCTACTTCATCATTCAGTGAACAGACATTAAGTGCTTCCAGTGCTAAGGATAAAGAAAAGTGGACACCCTGGCTTTGAGGAGCTTGCGTTCTCTTGGGAAAGACAAGGCCCTCATCAGTGTTTGAGTGAACGACTCTCAGTCTCCTCGTTGGCCTCCCTACTTCCATTCTTTCCCTTCTCCAGTCCATCCTTCACATAGCAGAGAAACGGATTGTCCTGAAGTATGGGTCAGACTATTCCTCTCCACTGCTCAAGAAGGTTCAGTCTAACATTTATACTCGTCTACACTCTGGCTCCCACCCACTGATCAAGCTTTACTTCCTATTACTGCCCTTTGGGAGCTCTTATTCCAGTCAAAGTGGACACTACATACATGGTCTCCAAACTTGACGCCTTATTTCTTGCCTCCATCTATGTTCAGAAACCACCCAACATGCCTGGAATGTGTACCCTTTACATTTCCATCCCTCAGAATACTCATTTCCCCTTAAGTCTCAGCTTATGGGCCATTTTATCTGAAATTCCTTCCATGATGCCCTTTGTTGTACATTTTACGTTACACAGACAGTTCTTACTTTATGTAAGCAAACTGTTCATAGACGTCTAAGTAAAGTGATTTTTACCTAATATGAGTATTTGCCCGCGGGCATGAGAAATGGAGGGAGGAAATGTGCATAATTCAAGGACATGTCAGAGAGAAGCAAGAGCAGGAGGAGGGACATGTGGGAGCTGGGGGGGGGGGGCAGACACATGATCCCCAAGACAGACATTCAGGCCAGACATGCAAACGGTTAGGCAGAGTGGGGCAAAGGTGTCCTCTCTCAAAGTTCTCAGGCTAAGTCCCTGCCAGGCACCTATTTTAGAGGTGGCAGTGATGGTCTCTCTACCTATCCATTCTTCTGTTTTCATTTGGAGGGGTTTTTTAAGTTTTGTTTTGTTTTTGTTTTTGTTTTTTAGTTTTTTTGGGGGGGATGAGAAGGATACTGAATGCTGAGCTGAGGAGCGGGAGCAGAGAGCACAGTACAGTCAAGTTAACATAGGGTTTCATTTTGTTTTTTTCTTTTTTGAATGCAGATTTCTTTTAGAATTTTTTACATGAAGTTGAATTTGTATAAGGCAATTTATGTAAAGCTAGGACGGTCTTACTATCCTTAATTGTGTTTATGCTCTTTCCCTTCTTTCTGCCTTCCCCTTTGTGGAAGATAGACTGGAATAGTCAGGGGAGTGGAGGCAGAAAGGTCGCTTAGGAAGTGTCTGGCTGCTTCCAAGGACCGCTCTTTGGCTTTCTTGAAATTTGTGGGTTTTGCGGTTAGTCTTTGGTTCCTGTTGCTTCTGGCCCCAGCCTAAGCGGATCCATGTGTCCCTGGCTGGTCTCTGGTACAGGCACTGAGAAGCTGCCTGCATGTTTGCCGGAGAGTAGACTCTGACAGTCCTAGCTCTGTTTTCTGTTGCCTGTCAGCTTCTGGCTGACCTTTTCTGCAATTTGGGGGTGGGTGAAGCCATTTAATGTAGTTGCTTATTGGATTTCTTGATCTTTGTTTGTTCTGGTATTATTTTTAGATTTTTAATGGAATAAGAATGTGAGAGAAGGGCTACCTTTCAATGTTCAGGCAAACACCTTGGCCCCGAGTTGCCCTAACTTTTCCTTTGTGCCTGCCTTTTTGGCTCTTTCTAGTCTTACCCATCTTTTCCCAGACATACTGTGGGCATTCTTCTTTGGCGTCTTTGCTCAAGCAGTTCTTCGTAGCTGGGTTGACTTCATTTTCTCCAAGTCTTGTCTTTCCTGAAAGGTGGCTAGACCTAGCTTAAAGAAGGAGACCTAGTCGTGAAGAAGGCCACCATCTTTAATAATTCAGGCTCTCAATGATGTGTCCTTTCTCAGAAGTCCTCTAGCCCTCATTGTCTCTTTCACTCGTGCACCACCTGTATACTCCCTTATCAGCATAGCTCGCTTTGAGTTTCCTCCAAGACAGAGACTATGTTTTGGTCTTTGTATCCTCTTGACTCAACCTCCTTGTTGTGCCCAGTGAATGTCTAGTGTAAGTGGATGAAGAATAGGTAGACAAGAATACCAAATTTCTAGTCTGGATCAGCACTTCTTCTTTTTTTTTTTTTGCGTGTAAAATATGTTTTATTGTTCTTTAAAAGGGTTCAGAGTTTGTTTGGAATCAGGCTGCACACCTCTCAATCAGTCCGATATCTTACTATGTCAAAATAGCTTCAGCTAGCAATACTTCATTAAATTCAAAAGAAAAATGTTTTAATTTTACAAAAAAAAAAATCCAGTTCTGCAGTTCAAAAGAAAAAGAGGGCTAATATTGACTGTAGCCTTATACACCCTTCTTATTAGACAAAAGTAATGTTCTCCTAACGAGGCAAGTACTGATGTTGCTGGACACTATGCTGCCCTACCTCTTAACAATAATGAAAATAAATTTTTCAAAGGCAGGAGGCTTATTTTGGTATTGATGAAATAACCTTTGAGCAAATAGTCTTGTCTGAGCTTTGAGGGTTGCTGTTTTGATCTTAGGCCTAAAAGGAATCTATTGGCATGTTCTGAAATAAATTTTGGATATTGCCATAATTTTTTTAAACTTTAAAACCCTAGGAACAATTTAAAATGCATTATTTCATGGTTTGGGGCAAGGAGGAAGAGGGAAAGAGAATAATCTGCAGTTTTGCATTTAGCTAACAATCAAAACAGAAGTCTGGGAACAAGAAAAGAGGCAATTCACATAGCCGGCATCTGAGGTATCAGTGTGAGACAAGGTACCGGCCAGTCCATTCCCACTGACCCAACTGCTCTAAACAAATGAAAAGTTTTTGGCTCTGCACAGCAAGACACAGCAGGACGAGGTGACCTTAAGCCTCAGAAGTGGAACAATGTTACATATGCAAGTTGAGGTGAAAAAGTACAAGGGCCCTAGTCAGAGCTCTCCCACTGT